CTGATGTGCTTGAAAGTTTTCTAATACAGTACAGATGGGCTTCTGGCTTCCACACATACCACCCTTACTTATATCAGGAAGGGCATGAGGGGGAAATAAATAAATCAGACATCAACCACAGTCTTTGGAAGTGGAAATGTAGAGATTTTGCCAACTGAACCACCTCCTACTGTATTCCTGCTACCAGAGCCTCACTTTATCACTGCAGTTAGTTGCTCTGATATGATGGGTGGGCTTTTCTATTGTCATTCCAAATTACACTTGACTTGATATATTACTGTAGCACTCCACAGTTCCAGATAAATCTTCAGAAATACCTTCGCATTTTGAGGAATAGAAACAAAAGACATAATATTGTAAAAATATACATATATTTAACATGTAACAAGAAATTAACAAACAGTGAATGCAGGGAGATAGGATCATTTAAAAGTAAAGTTGCAGTGTGTTTTGCAATAAAAACATAGAATTGAAATACATACATAAAAAAACAGATCTTAACATGTAACAAGATCAAATTAAGAATCAATAAAGAAAAATCTAAAAAATTCAAGTGAATTTCAGGAAGAAATGTATAAGAAGATGTACAGTTTGCCTCCAGACACAGAGCTCCACAGGCGACAAGTGACAAGACAGGAATTAGTAACTATTAGTACGGCCCTTAGGGGGCCAAAGAACTCAAATAGGGATCAGTCGTATACGTAGTTAGTAAATCGCAAATACGGAAAAGATCCAGGCTATGTGGATTGGTGCGATTGGTGTGGTGTGATTTATTTTTTGGTGTGTGTTTAAAACCTGGCACCTGAGTAAAAAAAGAAAAAAATTTAAAGTTGTATATACGTGTTGAAAAGACCACACAGTTCACATGAGCTCAATATTTAAGTTGTTTTAAATACATAAATCTCAAGTTGTCCAGTGACCTGGTGGTTAAGATGCATACGATTTAACTGCAGCCTCTTTGCTTCTCTCTCATGCAGGAACTTTGTTTTGCATGTTGTAACCTCTTTTTATCTTTCTTACCTTGATCACAGCTTTCAGGCAAGGAAATCTCTTAAACCTGTATAATAGGGGCTGTATGGTTTTGAAAGGCCTAAATTCATATCTAAATAGGTACAGAGGTCAACAAAAGTGGCCATTTTCACATATTTGTACAGTCTGGCAGCAGCACAGTTTGTCAGTGCGTAGGACAATCGCTCCATATGGTGCCCATCAAATCCAGCATTTAATATGTTTATTGCAGGTGGCACGATTCCAAAAAAATAGGGGCATCTCCCAAAGAAATTAAGCCCTGCATGTGTGGGACTAAGAAACTCCATCCCCTCTATCATCCTCCCTCACTTGGTGGGGTTTCCTCCCCCCCCCCTTTTCTCTCTGTTCACTCATCGTCAATCGCTCTCATTCCTCTGCTCCCGCCTTCCCCGTTCCCCTTCTTCCTCTCTCCGGCTGTGATGTCCTTGAGGGCCTGCTGAAGCTCCCATAAAGCCTGCAGTAAATGGCTCTAATCCGGTAATAAATGGCTGTGTCCTACAGACAAGGGTGTGAGGCTGCTGCAGCCACGGCTTTATCAGATGGAATGGTATTGGCACACACATACATACATACATACATACATACATATACGGACCCACACGCGCACTCACAGATGTAATAGAAGCTGCATAGATGTGTGTAAGCATGCATGCTATCTCCCACCACCACCCCCACCCCCCTTTTTTTTTTCTGTTTCGTCTCTCACACACACACACACGCACACACACTCTCATTTATACAGCTTCAGATGGAATCACACCTTCTCCGATTGTGCTGCTTTTATGGATGCCATGCAAGAGCAGCGCCATTATTACCTTTAAATGATTAGAGATGCGACTATGATGCATTATGATGATAGGATCATATAGAGCTGTATGAGCTGTTGCACTGCTCTTTATGCCTGCTGGGATAGACTGTAACTGAATGAAGGAGCAGGGAGGGACACGGGGAATAAGAAGAATAGTAATGTGACCTTTGGAGATAGTTGGAGTTCACCTGTTTTTAATCAGCAAATACAATTGATTTTTATCTCCTCTGGTTTTATTTGTGTAGCACTGTAGTGACTTGGTCCTCTGAGACTGGACTTAAATGTATGTGTGTGTGTTGGGGAGGGGTGTGGTGGTGGGGGGGTGTCTTACAACCTCCACATTCCTTGTTGAGTTGTAACCCAGAGCGGCGCTTTCATTTTCCTGTCATAACGTATATTGATTTTTCCTTTCTGTGTGTGTGTGTGTACGTGTGTGTGGGCGCACGTGTGTGTGTGTGTGTGTGTGCTCGCTCATAGTTATTTGTGCTCAAAGCATCTGGGTTTGATCGGTGTGTGTGCTTCTCATCAGGTGGAGCTGACCGGCAGCAGCGTGTTTGACTACATCCACCCAGCGGACCACGTCGAGATGGCCGAGCGGCTGGGAATCAGACCGCATCTGCGGGCGGAAGCAGGCTGCCACACGGCCCCCGAGAGCGCCTCCAGCTCCGCGTCCACCTCGTCCCTGGCCGGTACTCCCGAACCCGGTACTGATATGCTCACTTTATAGCTAAAAAAAAACAAAGAAACACAAAAGCAAATATATTATTCTTGTTAAATCACCTTAAAAAACAAAAATAAAATTAAAATGTAAAATTCCAGCATCTGACAAATCTTGCATGTGCTGGATATTTAATCAGACTCCTTCTTCTCTCATCCTTGGCAGCTCCATCTAGTCCTCATTCTCCTGCAGACGAGCCTCCCGACCGTGGCTTCTTCATCCGCATGAAGTCCACGCTCACCAAAAGAGGCCTGCATGTCAAGTCTTCTGGATACAAGGTATCTCGGGAAATAATTTACCATAATTTGAAAGCATATCTCCTGTTTATGCACACTTTAATTTACCCGCTTGTTCTTGGGATGGTAAAATAACAAGCAGGCCCTTGTCATTTTGTTTTGTGCCGCCGGTGTTTCATGGCACTGTCAAGTTGGTCGTTTTCTGCATGTTTTACGGCTGTGACCTTATTTCACACCGAACCACCGCACATAACACACTTTACTGCACTCGCTGCTGTAGTACCGGAGCTGCTGCATTCTTTGGCTCAGAATCCAACACTGTGTTGTGTTCATGTTTAATGGATATTGATGAATGTAATAATTCTGAGCTCCTCTTGTTACTTCTGTTATTGTTCTTTAACTGTCTTGCAGTGCATCAATCAATTTCACATGATTATTATTTTTGTCATCCTCCCTGCAAATTGGCTTTGTGTGTGAAAGGAATACGTTCTGCTTGCCAGGTAATCCACGTGACGGGACGAATCCGCTGCCGCCCTGCGCTTGTTCCGGGCTCCACGCGCTCAGTCCGTCGACCGATGGGTCTGGTCGCGCTGGCGCACACACTGCCGCCCTCCACACTTAATGAAGTCCGCATGGAGAGCCACATGTTTGTCTTCCGAGTGAACATGGACCTACAGGTCACGTACTGTGAGAACAGGTGAGGGGTTTTGCGTTTGGAAAACATCACAGGAATGCCAAGTGTCCGAAATGTGTTAAATCTTACTTTGCTTTTTTGCAATGCTCCAACTTTTCTGTATTTTTTTTTTCACAAGTAGCTGGCAGAGTATCCAACCAGTTGGTGGTTTTTAGAAGGTACTTCTTCTTCTGTTTAGATAAATGTGTTTCCCTTTCTTGCTTTACAGGATCTCAGAGTATATGGATCTGACCCCTGCAGAGGTGGTGGGACATACCTGTTACCATTTCATCCATGTAGAAGACCTGGAAAATCTGCGGCAGAGCCACGAGGACTGTAAGTCACATCCATATGCATATGTAGCATATAAAATTCATCCCCATCACTTTTATTCTACATAATTGCTGAACTTGGGGGCAAGGAGAGCCTGTTGAAATCTTGTTCTGTCCTGTTGCGATAGGCGCCCTCTGCTGCCGCCACTCTGAACTGCCAAACCAATAACTTCCTTTTCTGTCCCTCTTCCCTCCTCTCCTGTTATGCATCCTTACTTTTTCCACCCATCTTCCTCCCGTCAGTGTTGAGGAAAGGACAGGTAGTGACGGGTTACTATCGTTGGCTGCAGAGGAGAGGAGGCTACCTGTGGATCCAGTCCACCGCGACCGTCTCCATCAACCACAAAGCCCCCCACGAACGCAACGTCATCTGGGTGAACTACGTCCTGAGGTCAGTTTGTTCTTCATGAGTTCAGGCACCGCATAGCGAACAGAGATCCTTTGAAGGGGGAAGATGATGAAATGTGGTGGGATTATTGGGATAGTGAGTTTTATTGCTTCCAACGTGTGAGAAAAACTCAGAAAACAGTGGCATCAAAGCGCATTATCACTGCCTATGAAATGTAACTGTTATTTTGAATTGCTTCATAAATATTAAAAGATTGCCTTAAAATGTGTTTTTTTTTCTAATTTTCAGATTAAAAAAATATTAGTCTTCTTAATTTTTTATCAGTTTACAAATAAGCTGAAAGCAGACACAGTGAATGAATTCTAATTATTCCAGTTGTGCCTATTGTCATGACAACACACAGCAAATCCTTACATTTTTTTAAGTTGAGTTCAATAAGCAGTGCCCCATTATCTTTACCTGCCAATAAAATTCTTGTTATAATTAATTTAAATAGTATGAAATAGTTTCTTTAGTAAAAGTTATCTCTTTTTCAGAGATTGCTGTTGTCTTTTTAGCTGATGCATACAATAACACAGCATTATTGTGGTTATTTAGCATCATTACTCTGAATTAGCCAACATAATATTTTCTTTAAAAAATAAAAAAAAAAGGCTTTGAAACTGATAAAAGAAATTTCAAAACTCTGCACTTTTTTTTTTCAATCTGTTTAAACATAAATTACCCTTTAAATGTAGTATTACCTTCACTTAAGGCCTTATATACACTATTTACCACCCAGACCTTGATAAAATATGCTTATGCAGTGCATGCACACATTGGACACACACACCCGCACGCACACAACATAACAAAATGTGTGCACAGAAACCCAAGCAGTCAGACAAAAACAAGAGGACTAGACTGAATTTCAATGCTAATTGGACTGAAGCTATATAATTACAACAAATGGATGTCAGAATTTTGGGGCTGAATGGTGTTTTAGTTAATTAGTGCTGTAATTACAAGAGCTCATTAACTTCTCCAACAGCCTCCTCCTTGTCTGAGCTTAGCTGCGTATAGGTGGGCTGCTGAGTGGGGCATAGTGTGTGTGTTGTTATCTGTGTGTGTGTTTGTGTGTCTTGAAGGGTGGGGTCTGCTCGCGTGTCTGTTTGCATGTGTTAAGGACTGTGTGTGTGTGTTAGGTGGAGGTTAGAAGGGTGTGAGGCAGTTTGGCTATTGGAGGTTGTTATTAGGCTGATTATATGTTGTTTCCATCTCTAAGTATTCACTCAAATCAGTGCGGCACTAGTGTGTTTTTTTTTTTTTTTTAAGTGTAAGTGGCTTTAAGTGGTAGATGATCATTTGTGTATACGTCCACATTTTCTCCCTTTTCCATTTTCACATCTATCCATCCAGTCGAACAGAGCTGCCCGACACTCCCCTGGATCTGCTGCAGCTACCGGAGAGCATAAGGGCAGAGCGACTTCGAGTCAGCTCGTCCCCCGCCGACAGCTCCCCGCAGGCCCGAGGTACGACACTGTTCACATTACAAGCTTCCCGTAATGTTCACTGACACGCAGAAACACTGTTTCCTTTTCCTAAAAATCTCTTCATCCTTAGGCTCGCAGCCGGTGAAGGGCTCAGTGGGGAAGAGTGACCCCGACACTAAAGGCAGAGAGAAATTCACCGCCGCTGCCATCCAATCAGAGGACAGGAGGAAGCGCCTGCTGAGGTCCGACCCTGAGGGCGCGCCCCCCGAAACCCGCCGCCGACTGGAGGAGCTCCGTCACGCCGAGGAGAGCGTGTCGGCCTCCTCGGACCTGGCGAGCGAAAGCGATGGGGAGGAGGAGGACGAGACGGAGTGGGACCAGGGGGGAGACAGCGACAGATTGAAACAGGAGGACAGTGGGGGAGGAGGAGGAGGTAAACAGAGCCGAGGAGGAGACACCCCGACCAGAGGGGAGAGGGGCGGAAGGGTGCACAACGGCCGGGCTGTGATCCAGCAGCTGAAGAGCGTCGTGACCCCGTCTCCACTGCCTGGCAGCCCGAGCATCAAGACTGAGCACGAAGCCCTGACCACCGGGGGGCGCTGGGGGTCGCACACGCAGACCTCCGCCTCGCACACACACAACACCCAGCCCTCACACGCGCACACACCTTCCAGCAGCCTCAACGGCGACAGCCCCACCACCCCGATCCCCGACTCCTCTTCCAGCAGCGAAGCCCCACCAAAGGGCTTGTTCACGCCCCCTTCCCCAGCTTTGTCCCCCGCCATGTCCGTGTCCTCCCCGCTGCCCCGCGAGGACAGGGTTGTGTCGGGGGTGGTGAGTCGGAGCAGCGGCGGCAGCGGCGGCGCAGGTAACGGTCCTGACTTTGAGCTGCTCCAGAGACTGGCTGCAGGCGGTGCAGCGGGGCGGGTCCTCTTCCACCCCCTTGCCCTCGGCCCGCAGGGCCCTCAAAGCCTCTACGCCCCGAGCACTATCCGCTACGCTCCACCTGAGCTGCCCCCCTCCCACCACCACAGCGCGGGACACAGTGATGGCCTGCAGCTACGCTCGGACCACCACAAGGGACCCCCACCGGCCTTCTTCCCCCACCTACAGCGGCTGGCCGGCCTGCCACCCTTCAGTGGTTTCTCCCCATCTGACAGCCCTTTCTCCTCCGGCCTGCCCTTCTGTATGAATGGACTGAGGGGGGCTGCAGGCACAGAGGAGGACTGAGTCTCGGAGGGGAGGAGGTGAGAGGAGAAAATAAAAATGAAGGACGGAGCGCAGTGACAGGACAGAAAGAGAGACATTGAAAAGGGCAGGAGCGACAGAAGTGGCAGGACATTAAGCCTCGAAGGACGATACTAATTGGACAATGAGTCGAATAACTACAATCTAAAGTGTGTGACAAGTTGTTGCCATAGGAATTTATTGTGTCGGCCTGTTGTGGACAAGTGACAGCGACTCTCAGAGAAAACGGGACATGGCAAATTTTGACTGGTGTCCCTCAAGACTTTTCGTCTCTACAACAATAATGAACTCTGCTCTGTGTCTTTCTCTAGATGACTGTGTTGATTTATGTGTCTCTTCCACTCAGAGAAGCCATATTGTATATAGAGACAAAACCATGAAGACCCTCAGCTCACATCCTCGTTACTGTCACTCCAATTAACCCAATTAACCCTAAAACCATTAGAAAGAGATGGACACTTGTCTGTAGGAATGAAAGTGACTTTGGGATATAAATTTTTATTATTGCAGTATTACACAAATCATCTCTCACACTGGGCTTCAGGTGAGAATGTGATTGTAGGGGTTCCCTTAAAATAGATGCAGACAGCCTTCTGGTGTTTTGTATTGAGACTCAAATTAATAATGAATAATAATAATAAAATAAAAAAAACAAGTATTCATCAGTCAGCCATACTTAAAGCACACTGTTGGGACAAAAGTATGAATAATGTAGTCCCAGACATTCCATTATATATAAGGGAAGAAAATGCAATGCAGACAGGATGCTATTTCTGTTGTTTGACTATAGGAAGGTAATTTGTTTAACTGAGTATTAATTATAGTATATTCTGTATGATGCTGCAGCTGTGTTTGTGTATGAAAGCCATATTCTTGATTTTTTTTTTTTAATAGTTTCTATTATTTTGTTTTTCACCAGATCAGACAGATGGAAGAATGGTGTAAAAAAAAAAAAAAAGAAAGAAAATGCAGACAAAACTACATTGTTTTATTGGATGCACAATATCATCCGAATACCTTGTTTTTTATTCTCTCTAAAAAAAAAAAAAAAAAATATGAAGAAAAAAAGATATTTCTGAAAATGTTTTAGGAGAGGAAATGGTGCTGGACAGAAGTGTTTTTATCATTTAGACCTCTGTGTTTTTCCGAGCACTTAACTGAAATTTGTTCTGGTGTGAACTTAAAGCACTTCATGACTCGACGTGTGATCCTGTTAAAACAGAAAACAATGCAAGAGCGGTCACTAATATCACAGGCTGACCACGGTGTAGCGGACGGGGGATAAATGCTCATTTAAAAAAGACGGATAAATAAACGGGCCACGCGTGGTCATTAAAATACGACCGTCAGAGGTCAATAAAACAACGCAGAATTATTCTGATATCGGTTTCTGTTCGGTTCAGTCAACTGGAAATAAAAGTTTTTAAATTAAAAAGTGGAAATATGAAACACTTTAAATCTCTGTTTTGTGCTAATTGATTGGGATTCCTGTCAGGACGGAAAAAAACAAAACACTCTCTACACGACAGAATGAAATAACTGCTTTAAATTAGTACAAATAGTAAGTACGTGACAAACAGTGTTGAAAGTTACTGAGAATTTGCATTTGAAAATACATTTGGAAAATGTTGGTATCAACACAGGCAAACTTTTAGTCAAATGTAATAATAATAATAATAAACAGTGATATATATCAATTCTGAGAAATAATCAGGTGATTTTCTAGCACTTTGCAATAAAGTCTTTCAAACTGATCTATCACTTGATCCAAATGCACGTAAAAAAAAAAAATTATATAATCTGTTCGAAACAAAGTCTTCTGGCACTTTTCTTTTTTTTTTTTGCTTCGAAATTGAGATTACGGTTGACAGTGTGATCTGAGGGCTCATTTTATGTGCAAACCTCTCATGTTCTGATGTCTGACAGGAGAAAAAAAGGAGGAGGGGGGGATAAAAAAAAAAAACATTCTAATTGTTCAGATCTGCTGTGCACTACACACCCATACTGTAGCAGTCACGTACAGAAAATGTGTGAGCACACATGTTCTCGGGTGTTTACTGGTATAATATGCGTGCATGGGTGCGTGCGTGTGTGTGTGTGTGTGTGCGCGTTTGCTTGTGTAAGTGTGTGTGTGTTTTGTTTTGTTTTCAGTTTTTTTTTTTACATTTTTTTTGTTGTTGTTGAATTAAACAGCTAACCCCCGTTGCCCATCACTGTGAATCTAACGTTATCCTCCCATCTTTGTGAATACTCCACCCACTCATCAGATAAAATGAACAAATGTAAAAAAAATAAAGACAGTGATACAGATGATGATAACAATAAAATATTCCAGTAGAGGAGCACAACTCAAGGTTTTTGTTCTTTCTTTCTTGCTTGATTACGACACATGAAACTGCATGATTTTTAAGTCGAGGAGGTTTATTTGTAATCTGGGACACTTTTACACATTTTGGCCTTTGCATACACAAAACATGCATCTTTTTTTTTTAAATATAAATCATCCATATTTCAAGTATTTAACAGACATTTAGGTACAGCACGAGTGAAAATAACATGCAGTCAAACAGCACGAGACAAATCAGTGGTAGAATAAATACTAAAAAATGTCTGCCAGTGCAAATAATTGTATTTATTTATATCGCGTTATCACTGGAGCAGTTGGGAAATCTTGCCCGTCCCCGAAGCCGACAAAAATATTATTAATGCCTAATAAAAAGTAGTTTGTGGAGCAGGTGAGAGCGACCCTGGTGGGGCATCACGCGAGTGTTGGATTCAGCAAAGACTTGGCCGTAAATTGGTCCGAAATGAACACAAAAAAGGCAAAGAGAGAGCGTCTCACTTATGAGGGACCGTACGCAGGCGTGTGCCGAACACGCGTGTGTGTGTGTGTGTGTGTGTGTGTACATTGGCGGTTTTGCTCGCGTGTCTGCGTGCGTGTGCATCTCCATGAATTTGCGAATGTGTGTGTTGTCTGAAGCAGCCCCAGGGAGGGGCTCTGACATTGAAGACGGGTTAAATCCTGTTTTACATTCAAGTGGCAGGCCCTAGTTCATTAGAGTGAGGATCATTCCTCCTCAAGACCAAAGGAAGCGCATACTAAACAAGAGCAGTTGTTGGGGAGAAAATGCCATTGTACGTGCAAAACCGTATGTACTGTATAAGTGTGTGTGTGCTGATGTCAGTGGAGCTGCAAAATAACCTTTCTTCTTTATCTCTTCATTTCTGCCGAATAGCGTCTTTACATAGAGAAGTAAAGGTGCGGGCTTGTACAGTTGAAGTCATTGTGCCTCTATTTGTGTGTGTGTGTGTGAGCATAAGTCATGGCAGCTCTCCTGACTGTCTTCCACTCAGCCTGTCATTGAGTCACCCGTACGCCCTCTCTGTCACTAACTTTGATGGCTTATCTTACCCCCTGAATTAGAGTCGTGCTCCCGGGGGAAATACCTTAGCACATGTAAATGCATTTGAAAGAGTCAAAAAATATGGGAAGGAATAATAGAGTGAGGGATGGAGGGAGACACCCAGACAGTTTCCGCCTGACACGGGTCTCGCTACACCTCTGCAGCGCCGCCCTTTTTTTTTTTTTTTTTGCCATTGTTTCCTCCTCTCATGCAGGAGAAGGCCAATCCATACTTAATGCAGCTCTCAAGGCAGATCCTTTGATCCGTACGTATGGCATTTAACACCTGAGAGCAGATGAGCCGGGCGCGCTAAAAATAAGCAAGAGGTTACGACTTTCGGGGGGCCGAGACGCGCGGGGCCGAGGGTTTGGGAGACGTACGAGGGGCCCCTCAGACCTGGACTCTTGGGTTGTGTTGTGCTGGTGTTGTGGTTTCTACAGCCTGCTCGGGGTCTGGCGGTAGATGGTGTTTGTCAGTGAGGGCGCGTCTCCTGCCTCTGGGCGCCCTGCCCTTTAGACGCGCCAGGCCTCAGGAGCCTCCTGCATGCCAAACAGACCTGTGCAGTCAGATGCAGCCGCGGAGGGGGAGAAGAGTCGAGGAGGGAGGGAGGGAGGGGAGTCGAACGTGAGGAGGAGTCCAGAAAGAGAGGACTCAAGGGTGAAAAGAGTAGAAGAGGATCTGAGGAGCTGAGAGGGGCTCGAGGCTGAGGAGGAGGAGGTAGGGGGGTGGTGTGCTGGTCACACTGCAGCAGCCATCCAGTCACACCCTGCATGTAGAAACACAACTACGCCCTGGGAAGGAGAGGAGGAGGAGGAGGAGGAGGAGGAGGAGGAGGAGGAAGAGAGGGTGACTCTGAGGTGAGTCTCAACAGCAGCACCGTGTGTCGATGGCTGGGAGATATCACAGACCTTCGCCCTAACCCAGTCAGCGATAGTTATCACAGACAAAGCCCCCCCATCGCCAACACTCCCACACACACACACACACACACACACACACACACGCAGCAACCACATGCTGCTTTGCCTCAGTTCATATATTCAAACATGCTCGCAGATGAGCAGCTCATTATAAAAATTATTCATGTACAGCATGCGTGTGCGGACAGTTTGTACATCTTTTGACTCCTACTGTAGGGAGAGCAGCTACCGACTCTGACAGCACTTACACATCATACTGGGCCCCGTTTGCATATTCCAGAAAAATATGACAACTTCTTATGAGGTATTTAGTAGCAGGTAAAGGCCTTTAAAGTGCTGGTAACTGATTTCTTATGATCTAGGAAAGAGATATTTGCACTTTCTTTTCTCCGTTTTTCACAAGAGCGTAGCAGCATTTAATTAGGGAGCGTGTGTTCTCCTTTTAGGTGTTGTTCAGTCTCCTTCATGTCCCCGGGAATCCAGCAGTTTCAACACATTTGGGAGAGCTGACACTTCTCAATTTAAAATGTACATGTGGTGGGTATTTTATAAGCTAATTCCACTATTTTCAGACCCACTATGGATGATGTTTAGGCCAAAGGAAAAAAAAAAGAAGTAAAGACAGAAAGAAGAGATTCATTATCCACAATTTTACCGCTGGCAGTGAGAGAAGGCTTTGAAAGCGCCTTAATACCTTGGGAAATATATACTTTTTGAAAATAAAAGAGAACAGTTAACTGAATAAACAAAATGTGAAGTGTCTGACTGCTCAAAGAAAAAAACTTTCTCTTAGTGTGTGCCGGATTAATCAGTTAGGGTGTCCCTATCGACCCCATACTTTACACATGTACACTGTGGATCTGTTCAAGTTCTTAAAAACTTCCCTCCTGCCTTTAAAAAAATGACTTAACCGAACTGAAAGGTTGAATTATTAGATCAAAGATGCCTTGTGAGTCACAGTAGTTACAGATTATCTTTTTATTTGCGTTTTCTCCATTTCAAAAGTCAGTTCTTTATCCGACTTGAAAACAAACAGCTTTATTTAGTGAAGAATTCTTTTAAATGAGATTAAACACAAAGACAACGTGATGCTGCTCTATGTCTGGATCTGAATTCAATACAAACCTTCAGAATAGTGAGGAATGTTGTCATAATTGTGTAAATCATGAATTCATCAAGAAAAACACCTTTAAATGTCAAGACTCTCTGGAGAATAGTGCATGCTGGGACGTCTGCTGATATGCTGGTTCAGCTTTTCAAAAAGCCTCAGCAGCACAATTTAACTAATTAATTTCAAGTCAAAACACTTCAAGTTAGAAAAAGTCCTGATTTTATGTTCCAAAGTGGCTTTAAAATAAAAAAAATAAAAACTTTGAAGAAAATTAGAAGTTGAGTTAATCTGAAATCATCCCAATGTCCGTAATTACATTTTGTAAATAAGGAAAGTAAATTTGACTTCACTAATTTCCCCTAAATTCCTTAACAGGAGTGTTCCAAGATCACCAACAACAAAAAAAGTGTGTTTATGCAGAGAGAGAAAAAATTACACTGCAACTGTGTCACTTAGTTTGATTAAATGCAAATTTATTGAGGCATATGCACCATGTAAGCATAATATAATCTGATTAAGGCCAGGTCATAATTAAGAATCCACCTCAGTTGTGCTTTAGTGGTGAAACTTCCCTGACAAATTTGGTGTTACTCAAATTACCAAAATAAAACTACTGGACATATTAACCCTCAGCAGATATGGGGATGTTGCCCTCATTGCTTTATAGTTAAACTAATAATCTTAATATATGTGGTCTGTGACAAACGAGATGGGAAAATGTAAAGGATAAGTGGTTGCGTAATGAAACGTCTATGAGGTGTTGTGATGTCAACTCTATTTAATAATCCATTTGAGTGGCTCTTACCAACATTGTGATCACCCGAATATCTAAGAAAAATGACATTTCCTGCTAATGATCTCACAACACATGCCTAAAAACCTCTTGAAGGATTGAAAAATGAAAAAAGCAGAAACACCAAAGCTTTGACTTTGTTTCAGCACAGATTTCTTCTGGTTTTATTACTGTATGTACAGAAGGCTGCATTGAAAGTAGTGCAAAAAAACAAAACAATAGTGAACCCCATATCCACATAGAAACTCAATGTCACCAACTGTTCTATCAATTACTCTTTACATCCATTAAAACAGCAATTATAGTGATCACCAGACGGTGTAAAAAAATTCACTCACATGGGTTTCTAGTTACAGTTTGGTACTGTACATGAATATGAACAATCCGCAGCAAAATATAGAATCACAGAAGAAAGCTGTGAAAAAATACTCTGCTTCCAAAAGTCTAGAGTTACTATCATGACTAACAAAAGCTGACAAAAGTGCTATTGCCCTTATAAACAAACATGTAAAAAAAAAAAAAAAACTGTAAAAAGAAATTCTAAGCCCTCAGAGATTTTCAGTTTAAAAGAAAAAAAGAGAAAAAAAAAATCGACGGACCTGAAATATACACATTTTATGTGCATCGGTTCGAGGTCTCACAACACATCACTGGCGGCTCGTTTTAGTTCAAGATTTTTATGAAAACTTCAAGTGGCCTATTCCAGTAAATGATACTGAATAAGTTGATAAGACAAACAGCGTGGCTGACAAGAGAGGCCTAGAAATGATTGCATACAGTGCAGTGAAGGTTTAACAAATTATGCTCTCTCTTTGCAGAACTGAAAATGTAAATAATACAAATAATAATAATAAATCAATGTCCTTTTCAGAGAGTTCAACGGTGCAAGTGAGACAGCATTTAATTATAAGAAATCTTACAAAAAAGCTGATTAATTCACCAATGAATGTTGTCAAAATCTCAGCAATTCTCAGCAATTTTTCGGACCAGTTTTTCCAAAAAAGGTCTTGAAGTCTGTCTCCACCGCCGTGATAATAATAATAATCTTTATAACAATAGATGATAGATTTGTAACTATAGACTCACACACTGCCTGCATATGAACATGCAGGCTGCACATACGCACAAAAAAACTCCACACACGTACAAATAGGAGAAACCCTGAATCTGAGCAGCGCACACACACACACACACACACACACAGCTTCCCTCCTGGAAGACCTCTACTTGTTTGGCCCTTTGCTGTCACTGTCCTCGCTGTCCTGCGAGCCTCGGTAGCCCCGGTGCTCGCGCCTCTCTCGGCACTCCTGGCACTCCTCCTCGTCCTCCCCCTCCTCGTCCTCGTGGATGATCTCCACCTCCAGCCGGCCGATGTAGAGCGATACAGCGCAGAGCCAGAAGAGGGCGACGCTGCCCACCGCGGCTCCTTGGAGCAGCAGCGCTGGCACGGACAGCAGCATCATCCTCCGCAAGGCGAGGAGGCTGCCAATGTAGGAGACGCCGCCAAACGACACGCACACACCTCCCAGGATGAAGAAGGCTGAGGGAAAAACAGATTGACATGGTATTATTGTAGATACCCAATTAATTTCGCTCGCTGTAATTAAATCTGGGATGGAGGCAGGTTGGATCTACTCATCCCCTTAATTATTCAGATGAAGATAAAAGATTAAGCGGAATATTTACTGGTCTTCAAAATGATATTAAGGAAGTGATACAAGCTGTGGCAATGATTTTACACTGAGAATACATGAAATGGGACAATGGGCATGAATAATACGACACTCATCACTTGGTTTAAGCACCGTGGGCGGTAAGTTCTGCTTCGAGGGTTTTTCAAACATTAACGTCCATCAGATATCAATCAATGACTACTTATTCTTGTAACGAAGGTCTTGTTTTATAACATTTTAACGGTCCAATCTTGCATCTCAGGTAACCATGACATTGGTTACAGCTACAAATCAAGGACCTTCACTCCCTTTTTACTCGCGATGATTTTTTGTCAATGGCAGAAATCCTTGTGAAATCATTTATTTCAAAGCTGCTGCATCAAAGCAAATATTCATGACAAGGTTCTCTCACAAACGGATCGATTCCAGAACAAAAGGTGTTTTTCACACATTGTGATGCTGGAGTTTAACTCAATTTCCAAAAAGCATCTTTATTTCATTTGTATTTCAACCACAAGTTTTAAAGAATTTAGGCCCTTTGATACCAATTCTGAATCACAAGCTGCTGTTTTTTTTTCTTCTTTTCACTGCGTTACCACAGAGCCTGAGCTGAAGTGTGTTAGTTTGCATCCCTACTTTACATAAAAACAAAATGCTTCCGCCCCGTACCATATCCTGCTTCTCGTCCCACTTCGCTCTGGACGAACGCGATGACCCCGATCCCGGTCGCCAGCAGGCCGTTCCTGAACCACGAGAGGAATCCTGTGAAAACAAGTCAAAGCCAGAAATGAACAGCTGGCAGGTTACGGACTGACCAGAAGAATCTGTGCAGGGAGCCAGAATCAATCACACTGTTTACTGTACCTGCATACTACAGTCTAATTACTGGAATACAGCAGCCTCGATTTATCCCAACCAAGCAGAGCACTGGCAAGACTTTGACATAAAGGTGGTAAATATAAAGTCACAGGTTTAAAACATAACCTGATGTGAAGACGTGAGTGTAAATATAAATATAAAATGAATGCAACATGTTTGAGACGAGGGCAGAGATCTGTGAAAATGCAGCCTAGATGAAGAGGGGTGTCACAACTCTGTTCTCCATACTTTGCAGAAAAGTGATATAATTAAATATACATAAAGATGTGCTTCTCCAGTTTGTTGTGATTGTTGATGCACAGTGCTGTCCCACAATGCAATGCAGAGAGGAAATGGAGTTTCCTCAAAGCAGTGAAAGGACGTTGAAAGGAAAGAGGATAAAAGTGTTAAAACAGCCTCTTTAGAAAATTGGCTGAGCTGGGCTACAGTTTGTGTTCAGTAGCTGCAACCTGAGGTCAGAGCTGCAGGAGGTACAACAAAACCTCAGGCCACTGAAGCAGAAATTAGGACGCTTTTAACATCTGATGTTTCTCTTTTTGGACTACAAGTCTAATATAAAACACATCTGACAGATTGAACAGCAGTCAGTTAAAGGCCCTGCACACCCACACAGATGTTTCCACTCTGATTAGGTCTCTGCTTACGGCGCAGTCAGACCAAAACCCGCCTGGCAAGATTTATTTGTGTGCTGTGGCCAAAAGCAGGCAGGAAAAGGAAACCGTGGCTGTAAATCTAGCAAACGCAGTTCACAAAAGGTGTAAATTATACGGAGTTTTATCAAACCTTTTACTGTCATTAACCTCTAACTCTGTCCTTATACTCGCTGCAGCCAAACACTGTCCCATCTTATTTGCTGTGCACTTAAACCAGAGCATAAACAAACAATATTCCCTGAATGAGAAGTCAGTCCGACCCTGTCTTTCAAGCTTACTGGACCCTGGAGACCCTGATTTTGCAGGTCAGAACTGTCATTTTAGGTGTCAAAGTTAAATCAGACTGAACTGGAGGAGGTTGGTTGGTTGGTTCTCTGCGTCCCACATAAAAATGAAAAGGTTGTAGCTGAGTGGAATCATACAGGAAAACCCTAAAGATAAGGATAATAAGGGGAGAAGAGGGGGATGCCAGAGTCTAATATCCTGTGATTTAAGTTCAACAAAACGAGCATGAAAGTGAGTGATATCAACAAAGCACACAAAGTCTTAAGGGGTTTTAAAGGTTTTTTGAAATTAAAGAATCAGTACGGATATAGAGGAATGGATATTAAGAAGACTGTGAACAAATACAGTTTTAAATTAAATAGGTACATATCTATCAAATAGGTAAAATGGTAGACTTGTTTTTAAAAGTAGTTCGGAATGTGTAGTTCTCTTGATTTTAAATGAATTATCTATCTATCTATCTATCTATCTATCTATCTATCTATCTATCTATCTATCTGTCTATCCATCCATCTATCCATCTATCTATCCATCCATCCATCCATCCATGTTCACTTGGCAGACTTGGGGGAAAAAAAGACTAAATTTAAGCTGGTAAACAAATATAAAGTTGAGGTACAATAACATTGTGCATGACTCATCTTGAACTTTTGTTTTTCTGTTTTGTTTTGCCCTCAACCAAAGAGTGAAAGTGTTGCCTATTAAATGATGCTAAGGGAAAAGGTTGGGTTTAATAAGCTACAGCTTTATTGCTGTCTGTTTTAATTTATTGCCCTATTGTGTTTTTTTTTTAAAAATTATTTCTATGTGTATTCACTTTGGACAATTGTTAACAAGGACTCCAATAGACTCACTACTAGAATAATTAAATATGAAAAACTAAGTGGGATTTGCAGGGGCTTCAGATAAAAACACTAACTAATGAAGACATCCTATCATAGTGAATTTTCACGTGTAATCTTCATCTCAGTATTATAAAAACCCGACTAAAGGGATAGCAGGTCCTGAATGCTGCCGGTGATACAGTCATTCTGTGTTTGCTGAAGTGTTGCATAGGCCCTGAGGCTCAGGCCTCCTGACACTAATAAATCAATATTATTATTGTTTTACACGTGTGAGATGTTTCCTCTGATGTAACGCAGAACAGCGGAACGTGGTCCTTTTTGCCAAAAACATCAATACTTTAAGTTATGTGATTTGTGCAAACATTTAAATCACTGCACTCGTTTGCCCGTTTTAATAGGTGCACCTGGATAACACTAATGACCCGCGAGAAACCTCGTGTTCATGGAAGCGTTTCAGCGAGGCGTCGACTCAACTCTCCGTAGCCTTTCCTCGCTGATAGAAAAGAAGTGGACACAATAACAGTAACACTCATCAGTATAACATAACACAGTTCAACAGCACCACAAACGGTGGCCTTCAGAATGAGAAAAGTGAAATCAATACTTTCTGACACAGTTTCTACCACAATAACCTTCATGAATTGAGGATTTATTGCAGGTCTGTTGTGTTTGACTTTATACTGCGAGGCTGATTTTAATCATACTGCACAGCTGTATTCCTCACTGCTTTCTTGTAAACTATGAAATGTAGTTTAATTGCACTGCTATTGCTGCATTGTGTCATTGTTGTTAGACGCTAAACATCTAATTCAAAGCCGAATCACTAAAGTAGACGAATGGGGCAACAGTTTAAAGATACCCTACAGCGAAAATCAAGTTGTTTTCTTCTTTTTACTTTGTTCACATGCCCATATGGTGTTTATGTGCCAGAAGACACACTGTGATAGAACCTGGCAGTCAACACCAGGGATGAGTATTCTTGTCCTGAAACTGCACTTTAGCAACGACCATCTCAAAAACGTAGATTCAGATTTCAGATTTTATATAAATTAGATTAGATTTAATAAATAACAAACTTAAAGAATCATTCCTGTTGACTTGCAGGATGGGGCTTTTCATATCATTATTCTTCTTTAGAAGTGGTTTCCTATTCAAACATGTGTGACTCAATTATCCCAGTAGCACAACGTTCTATTGTGTAGTAGCGTACAGCAGTTTTACAGTGTTTGAGCAGAGTCGTAGGTGAGCTGGTGTGCTTCAGCTGCACTGATTAAGGAGGAGTAAGCGCAGATAAAGACAGGGACTTCTTAGTTTTGCATATTCTAAATAATAGCTAGCTACAGCTAAGCCATTTTAAGGCAGGGAAGAATTATTTTCATAGGAGAAAAAAAAAAAAGATCTAAATATGTATTAAGAAAACACATAGATGCGTTTTTAGCGGTTTTTCAATGACTGGATAGGCACTTTAACAGTTTTAAATTTTAAAATGCACATCTGAGAGCAACACATACTTGAACCCAAGTTTTAAATGTCCGCTAAACATTTTGGGAGAGAGTAAGAAATTCTGATATTGATATATTATATTAAACTTTAACCGAAAAGAAAAGATGATGGGGTCATTTTTATGAACTTTTTCGCAGTATATTTTATAAACTAGCAAGCAGTTTCCCGTAAGGACAAAGCCGGACTCTCCAGCACGTCTGCTAAATAGTGATATGTACTCTGCTAAATGCGCTGCACAGTGCTGAGAGGACTGTAAACAATAAAATCAGAGCCGCTCTTATGGACAAACTGGGATGACACCATCTCTAAATTACCCTAAGCATATTTTTCTGTATTATGCTTTAAAAGATAAAGTTTTCAAACCATCAGTCAGGCTCTGTTGCTCATATGTGGCATCTCCAGCTGCTGTAGTCGCTACAGGATGTTTGACTCACTGTTTGGAGCAGTTCTGAAGCCATTGCTGCTATTGCTGCTGCACTGCTTTGTCCTTCTTAGTCTCTGGCCAAATCCCAATAAATGATGAGAAAGCTTTTTATGACACTGTTGGTAAAAGACATGCTATATCACTACTGAGTGGTATGAAACCAGAGAGGAAACACGTAGAGAAAAGTCTCAAACAGCACAGCAGTCCTTTTACAAAGAATGTTGGTGCGCAAAGTTGAGAATTTAATCGAAAGTGTAGTGAAGTAGGCCTGAGTGATAAATCTGTAGGGATACGTACCGATGATAGACACTTGATTAGTGCTATAAGAAGCTCGTTCTATAGAATATTTGATAGTTTCACTTAAGTGCATCTGATACAAACCACCATGAAACGACACAATGACAACACAAAGCTTGGCTGCATGAACAAAAACCCAAACCTGCTCCCTCCCTGACTCATAAACAACTGGTCATATCTGTGATCATTTAGGCCCGTCTGTCGCTCACCCCGTGGCTTCTGTGCAGGTCTGTCAACGCATGCTAGTCCCACAAAGATCTGCCCTAGTGGAGACTGTAGGTGGAAGTTGCTCTTGTGAGACAGGCTTCACGATTTAAAACACCCACCACTCTGCGTCTCCCACCACCACCACCACCACCTAAACACTTCTGACGGTTTGCTTACAGGGCTGATGGACCAGTGATAACCAGTCCAGATCCACTAAGAACCTTGATCTCAGTGTGGTGTGTTGCTTCACCCTGGTCACCCTCTGTACACCCTGTATTTACTTTATTTATTTACAAGACAGATAGATAGATAGATACTGTACTCCTCCCTTTGGGAAAATTCAAGGACAGAAGCACCCAACAACGGAGCTCCACGGACTAGCGGCCACACAGAGCAGCGCACCAGAAGTCAAGGTGACATAGTTCCTTTATTGCTACGTATTTTCTGCTACAGTTGAAACCAGACGTTTATATACACTGTAGAAAAAGACATAAAACATTTTTTTCTCATGGTTTGACATTAAATCAGACTAAACTTTTCCTGTTTTAGGTCAGTTAGGATTAACAGAATTATTTCTATTTGCTAAACGCCAGAATAATGAGAGAGAACATTTTTTAGAGAATAATTTTATTACTTTCTTCAAAGTCAGAAGTTTACATAGACTAAGAT